GTTCAAAGAACGCGCCAAAGCCGCTTTCCGTCAGCAGGTGTGTGAACATGGCAAATCGCTTTTATTCTTTCTCTGTTCATCATACACAGCGTTATATCTATATCTATACCTATATATTGCTCTATATAGATACATATAGATATATATATATTTACTATCTCTGATTGTTCCTTCAGAAGCCCTTTATGTGGCAGTAGGCTTCCAGAGATGAGAAGAATATGTACAAGAGCCAAAGGAGGATAAAGAGTGAGGATGTGAGCAGCTTGGAAGTCCGCGGCCCGCCCAGCTCACCTCCGATCTCGGGTCTCCGCCGGTAGAGCAGCACACCCACACTGATAAAAGCAAAAATGGTGAAGAGGGTGACGGAGAAGGCCAGGGTGCCGGGCGAGACTTGGAAGGCTTGTCCGTGCGCCGCGTGGTAGATGGCCGCGATGGACCAGGCCACCCCGATGCCCAGGAAAACGTTCACAGCGTTGCTCCCAGTGACGTTCCCGATGGAGGCGTCTGCGTACTGGTCCTGCGTGGCTGCCACTTTGCTGGCGAACGTGTCTGCAGAGAGAAGGCAGAGAGAAACCCCCCAGGAAGTAGCCGGTCGCAGCGGGATGGAGGCAGGCAGCTCGGGTATCGATGCTGACGGCATCGCTGGGGGAACGAAGCTACTGCGACAGGGTACGACCCCCCGTCCCTTTTACAGGGGAGAAACCGCGCAGGTGGGCGCGCGCAAGCCCAGGCTCCCCAGCAGCTATAACACCAGTGGCAAAAGAGCCGCGACAAAGCTTGCCTGGCCCTTTACGCCGCAGCACTCCTTGCTGCTAGCAGCGCTGAGATGCTGCTCTGCGCAGCAGGGATGTGCCGATTTTACATCCAAACCCGCTCGGGATCTGCAGGGTCTTGCAGCTCACACCACAGGAGTGGAGTTGGGGTACAGCATACCAACTCCAGAAGCCGCCTGTATTTTAGACCCTGTATCAAGCCACATATTTTATACCTTGTATTTTGCCTCTTGGTAGATAGTAAAGGTTAAAAAAAAAAAAAAAGCTCCATAAAATCAACAAATCAGCCGGACAAGAGGCTTCATTTCACTGCCCATTTGTCTGCGCTCTGCCTGCCTTCTGGCAAGTGCCCTGTGCCTTCGCGGTTTTGAGGAGCCATACAGAGAACCTCCTGCTTTTCTGAAATGTTTCCTTAAATGTCAACTTTTGTCAGCAAAAGCGGGAGGGAAGTCTTAGGCCATCCAGGCTGGGAAGCAGCCTTGCAAAACTAATGCCTTAAAAGATCCAGCTCCAGAAGTCCAAAAAATTCCCCTTCCTTCCTTTCCTTGCCCTAATCCATTCTCCGTTTTTACTGCGCTGCTTCTTTTTCAAACCCCAAGATCTTTAGGCCAAATTCAAGATTTTTGGGCACCCAAGTGCTGACTATTGGAAGTTCGGGACTGGTGAGAGAAGGAAGCGGGGAAGCTGGTCGCACTGGGTTAGATCCAGCTCCCTATGACCCAAACCCTTCCTGGACAGGTTCAGAAAGAAAACACAGGACTCCAAACACAAGCAGCACTGTAATTAAAGACCATTTTCCTACTCTGAGAGTGAAAGCTGTGGAGGCTGTCCACAGAAGTAGATACTTTGCAACCTTTGCAAGAGAGAAGGTGCTTGAACTCATTTCCAGGGGACTGAATTCACATCCTGGTTCCACCTTCCTGTCCCACCTGAGACTGAAAAATAGCTTCCACAAACGTCGTGGAAGCTTCATTTGGTTTTGGAGAAAATAGTTGAGGACCTCACTGGGCGCAGCTTTCCCAGCCCAAACCTCAGCCCCGGCTGGGCAGAGATGGCGCTTTACAAGAAACTCTACCGTTGGCCTTACCTGGCACTGAAGTTCCCAGCGCGACAAACACGACTGCAGTCACAGAGTCCTTCAAGCCGATGGTGCAGCCAAAATGGGATGCCAGGTCACCGATGAAAGCTGTCAGGAGGCCAATCATGAGGATGGAGACGACGAAGCAGGCCCAGCCATTCCAGTAGTCTGTCGGGGGCACGAAGGCAAAAAGGACCTTCCAGAAGACGGTCAGAAAGTGCATCACGTAGTCGAAGCAGGAGGGCAGCTTCTCCTCCCCACATTCATCATCGTCGTCGTCTTCCCCTGGAAAAAAGCCACCCCTGCCTCATTAGACTCACCTGTCCTGGGGGAGGTTTGGCAAAGCACTTGTGCAGCCTGGAGCCCCCCCCCCCCCCACCCCCATCCCCCTCGCCCCATCCCCCCCAAACACAGCCCTTCCCCAGAGCCAACCCTAGAAGGCCGTGACTTCCAAATATCTCATTTTCTGGAACGCAGGACACATTGAGATGGGTTTCTAAGTCACAAGCACTGGGCATTCAAAGAGCATTGCAAGCTGTGTTAAAGACATCCCTTGCCTTGGAAGAGGTAATTTGTTGTTGTGTCTGACACGTTTTATCCCTCCAGGAATGTGGAGCACCAAATCTCCCTACACTTCGTACCAAGGGAGGACCCAAACTGCAGCCCATCCCTGTCAGATGGCAGGAGCTGGCCCTGCTCTCTCTCCCAGCAGGAGACCCCAGGACAGCAGGGAAAGGGGGCCAAGACACAAGGATGCCACGAGCACCTGTTGAAATCCAAGCCGCTGCTCTGCTCCATCCCAGTGGATGAGGTGAAAAGGTCCTACCCCACCGAACACCAGATTTAGGGGGACGATGGAGCGGTGTCCTGCTTCACCCGGCAGCCACAGTGTCAATCAGGCAGGCATATGCTTTTGAATGAGACCATGCAATTTTTTTATCTGCCCCACTGCTGGCCAGGCTGAGCATTCTTCTTTTCACATCTTTCTCCACAATGAGGCTCTTTAATTGAATAACAAAATGTATAAAGTCTCCCGTAGGGAGAATAAAACGATCTTGCTGTACGCTGTGTACCAATACATAAGTGTCAATTAACCTCATGTTCAAACGGTGGCTCTGTGCCATGACAACAGAATTACTGGGAGAAGCTGCTGGCGTGTTGTTTGCTCTGTTGTCGCTCGTAATAACAATTGCCTTCTACCTCGATGCAAGGGTAGGCGACGAAAAGTCAACTGGGGGCTCAAGACAGAGCATCCCTCCTGGGAAGGTCGAGGCCAAATAAGCAATACGACAAGGGGCAACCTCCACAAACTGCAGCTTGGGAGGTAACAGGTGGACAGCAGGAGAAACTTCTTCCCCAGGAGGGTGGTGCAGCCCTGGGACACGTACCTTGGGTAATGGACATCTCCTTCTCCAGAGGTTTTTCAAGCTTTCACTAAATAAACCCACAATGAACCGGGGGAAAGTCCTATTCAGTGCCCTACTGGGATGTGACTTTGCCTTCGCAGCACCTTTGGAGACCAAGAGCAACACGTGAGCTAGAGGCAGTGAGGAACTTGGCCTCTCTGCAATACAACGATGGAAAGTCGCATCTTGGTCAGCCTTAAAGCATCACGCTCACTATGGAAGAAGTGGTAATTAATCAGAAGCACGGTGCTATTATTTTGGCAGATATAAACATCCCATTCCTGTGCAGTGTGGTGGAGATAAGGACCACTTTTTTCAGCCTGGGAAGCCTGCACTGGCCTTTTTTTCAGCCCACTGTGCAAAGGCTGGTCCTTGCAGGACACCCTGCGCTGTGCTGC